ATCTTCGTCGATGTCGAGCCCCTTCCATACGTCCTCTACAACCTTGACCCATTCCGTGGGTTGTCTACCCCTCTTTTTGTTTGCCCACTTCGCCTCCCATACAATTCTCGGCAACCTCTCCTCTTCCATCCCGCACATGCGATATTGCCATGTCAGCTTCCTTGCGTCTCGTCCCGACCGTAGGGATTGGATCCCCAATTCTGCCCTCACGGCTGCATTACTTGTGCGCCTGGAGCATCCTAGGATGGTTTTCGCTGCTTTCATCTGCGCCGCCTCGAGTTCTTTCACTACCTTCTTATTTCCTTCCCATACTTCTCCGGCGTACTCTAGCGGCGGTACGATTACGCTCTTCAAAACCGTCAATTTGATGCGTGTATCGAGGTGCCGGTTTGCGAGTATTGGGTGCAGCTTCCCTGCTCGTGCTTTGCCCTTTTCCACTAGCGTGTACCTTTTTAGGGTAAGTTAGCCTGCGACCACGGGAATCGACCGCGTCGAGTGTTATATCAGTACGGACATACATACGAAGGTACTGGGTAGAGAGATATCGGAACGGTTTTTAATGTGAACACAACAACAACAACAACAACAACAACAACAACAACTACCTTGGACATGTATGTGTGCATTCCACGAGCAGTCTTTCGCGATCTCTACTCCGAGGTATGTGTACTGGTCCACTACTGCAATCTCCTCCATCCCCCACTTCCATCTATGTTCTACTGGTTCCTCCTTGTTCTCGTTGCAAACCATGACGACACTCTTCTTGACGTTGGCAGACAATCTTCACTTATATTATCAGTAAACTTGTTCGCCGCGTCAATTTGCAGTTGCAGTCCCTCACTCAGGGGTGTCCGACATAAAGTGGTAATTGTCAAGGACCCGCCCACAGGCATCTTGATTGATTTTCCTTTGGAGCCAGGGTATTTTCCCAATAAGATACATACCATTCGACAGCTACGGAACACAGGGCTTTCGAATGAACCTACGTTTAGCTTTCTTTCACAGACGTGTTGGTGACGAGTTATGTTCAATATACAGTTTCGCCGAAAACGCGGCGGAACTAGTAAATCTCGTTTTTCCCGCCCCCCCCCCACCTCCCCGGGTTTTCGTCGCTTGGCAACGACGTTGTAAAACAAGC